AACCCCATAACCCGGGCATTGTCTCAAGGGGCGCACCGTCCCCCCGGTTATGACAGATGCCATTCAAAATTTTCATTTGGCTTATTTCGTGACATACGTTATAGACAGCCTTCACAGCGTTAATTAGGCATGAATATGAGACGGTGATACCTGTATACAAATTACAATGCAAATATTAAACACGATGAAGTACTTATTATATTCCGAGGGGCTTAGTTTTTAATGCTCAATCGTTAATGTCACGTCATCACGCGTTTACCACCGTAATAATTATTTTTAAGAGTAAACTAGCATCTTTGAAATTTTGCGGTGTCTTACTGCTGTGTATGCTTGCATGTTGCAGGGCCAGTAACGGACTGTCGGTGCTGGGCTCGGCCATCGTGCCTGAACAGAAGCCGCGACGTCCGCTGCCCGCCTACTGTCGTTACTGACCAATAAATATCATTAGCAACGTGAACTTTGTTTTAATTATGTCTTCCTATTTAGTTTATTTCAACAATGGCTAAATAAAATATAAATGGCTTAATAACGATAAAAATTTTGTAACTGCATAATAATAATATAGCTCTGCATAATATTAATACTATATAAATTAAAAATTTACTAAATAAATTAATAATAAAAAAATTATAATTTACTAAATTAAATGATTATTATTGTTATTGTATTGTACACCACAAAGAATTTAATACAATTAGTATAAAATAAGTCTTAAAAGCGAGGTACAATCAGGCGGTCTTATCGCTAAAAAGCGATCTCTTCCAGACAACTTTAGGACGAGAAAAAAATAAACTAATGAATAGTGAGAGGTGGTGTGCTCAATAAACTTACTTAATATCAAAATAGACTTAAATTTACTTAATACCAAAAATGACTTTTGGAATAAACTATAATATAATAATGATACATAAACATTAATAAATATATAATACATATAAATAACTTAAATAAATACAAAGAAGCTTGGTGTTCCGATACTCCAGCACGGCAAGAGAATACATATATTATGTTAATTCTTTAGAGAATTAATGAAATGGATTTAGTAGGCTTTTGAAATAATTTAGAAAACTCGTGACTGTTTAGAAAACTGTGTATTGTAGCAAGTAAGAAATGGAACAGAAAAGAACATTATAATATAGTGCAAGACGTTAAACAGAGAAAATATAAGTATTAAAATCGCAGGTAGGTAGCAAAAGTATTTATGGAAGATTATTGACATGTTGCATCCTTTACATGGTAGGTGGCGCTGTAACATCCTGCCCCCCGTTGAAAGCCTGTCTTACAACAGTGGGCTGAGACGAACAAGTCGCACCTTTAGAATTAAAGTGACCTATTTAAAAAATATCAATTTTTGGGAAACGTTAAATAAAGATTTGTGCATTAATGCTTTTTGTAAAAAAATAAGGTTATTACAATGAAATTTCATAAAAATCATAAAAATATAATTTTATTTGATTGTTAACTTATTTATCTACATGCCTGATAAGAAAATAAAGTGTGAACGAAGTATTTTTTTTAATTATTTAAAAAAAAAGTAGTCGAAATTAGGTCTATATAATATTAAAACCTCAGATTTTTAAAAAAGACTCTTTGTTATATAGATCTCTCTATTTCTGAATATTCGGTGAAAATCGTGGGTTTTTTATTGGTAAGTCCCTCTAATAATAAATTTGAGATTAATTTCAGGTGTTTTTTTTAATACGTAAACCATAAAAGATAGTAAATAAGGTTTATTAGAAAGTAAACTTACTAAATAATTATTCCTACTAAGTAATCTGTAATTAATTCTACATGCTTTACAAAATTTTTGGATTCTGATATTGTTCCATGAGATATTGTGTTTGTTTTCACTTTCATTGAAATTATACCCGGATTTCTAACAGTATATATTATAAGAGGGACACAATAATTAATTAATTTCAATCATAATCATTATTTTCATAACTAAAGAGACGAATTAGAATCTGGTCTCTAATTATTACTGTTTTTTCAATCAAAGAGGGTCTCAATAAAAAAAAGGTCACAACTTACTCAAGAAAGTTTAGTATGATATAGACTCAATTATGAATAATGTCTATATTTAATTAAAAAGTATGAATAGTACTTACCTTTACATTTAATTTTGTTACGGCCTATTTCGGCTTAGATCACTATAAAACTAAATACTTAACGACATGCTCAAGACACTTGTGGCACCATACTGCTAGGTTAGGTTAGGTTAGGTTAGGTTAGGTTAGGTTAGGTTAGGTTAGGTTAGGTTAGGTTAGGTTAGGTTAGGTTAGGTAGGGTTAGGT